CCCCCCCCCCTGCAATAACTCCCATAATTCCTTGTTGACAGCCTCGGACTCTCAGTGTTTTGTAGCTTAACAAAGCTGTAGGTGCGGTTTGAAATGTCCAAAGAAAAAGGTTCTTATGTCGTTTCTTAACCGCTTTGTCGTAACCTGAGTGTAACACATCGTGGGGTTTGAGGAAATATGTGAAGGAGAATCCATCAGGACTGAAATAACTCCCATAGTTCCTTGTTGACAGCCTCGGACTCTCAGTTTTTTGTTAGCAGGTTCTCTATCGCTCTCAATCCTTTCCATGACAGCTTCCTCTCGTTTGCCTCAGAAGAAGACTAAAGGTGGAATCACTTCAAACTAAGGCAACAATCATATCAACTTGTAAAACTGTCCATGCATGGTGAAAGGGTTCGATGTAAGTTCTAGTTAAAGCCAAACTTTATTTCATTAGTTTACAGTCATTAGCGTAATCTTCTCTGGTTCAAACTTCAAATCTTATAAGCACTTTGGAAAGTTATCGTTAGGGTGGAAAGTGTTTAAAAAGTTCAGTAACTCATGATCTGCGTTTGTCGTGAAACTGCAGTCGCAAGGCATTGTGGGAAAACATTATCGATTCTCTTTCATAGACGATGGTTTGCTGTGTGACTACCCGATTTGTATGTCCGCCCGATTTGCGCAAACACGAGTTGATCCGCCATATTGGACCAATAACACCAGCTATGTACGGCAACCCAAGTAGGACATTTGACAAAGCGGTGTTTCGCAAAGAAGTGAAAAAAAACGACCACATTAATCTGAACGAGAGAGATGAGTTATTGGTTTTTCAACGAAATGTCCTGATTATTTGAGAATAAATCATTTTAGTGGGTTAAGTACATTCTTTAACTTCTGTTTGACAGCCTTCACACTGGAAAAATAAGAAACTGTAAATGTATGCAATCATTTATGGCATTCATAATTAACTGTGAATTGTTTTCATTTATTTAACATTAGAGATGTTTTAGTCTGGCCAAACTTTTTCTGTTGGGATTCCTGGAAAAGGAAAATTACTTTTCATAAAAGTTGATTCAAGGACAAAACTGTTATTGGATCAGTCCGGACGTCAAATGTCCTGTTTGGCTTGCCGTACATAGCTGTCCAATGTGGCAGACCAACTCGCGCTTGGGCAGAGCAAATCGGGTAGTCACACAACTGTATCCTACGCTAAAGGAGATGAAAACGAAGCATTGAAGTTCCTATTTGAGCACCCATGAACCCCTCTTATCATGGCGGCCACTTATGGATTCTTCAGGGTCATTTCTCTCCGTTAGGAACCTTCCTAAAAAAGAAACACTACGACCTGTGACTGGCGACAGATTGCTAACTTTTTCTTTTCATAATCACAATCCCATGCTAACAAACTCTCAGTTTTGGCACACTCTCGCCTACAGGGCAGCTGCGGAGGTTGAAACTCCTCCTTAGCAAGTCAAGTGGGTTCGCCTTCAAACTCCCCCCTCACACCCACACACTCTCACACACACCATCTTTTTTTTTTTTTAGAGAGTCACAGATGGGTCCATAAGCTGTCAGTAGAGCCATTATCCAGCCCGGCATCTGCCTGTTTGACTTCTATATACTGTTTAATGCAGTCGGCCAGTCACTCGCTGAATAGGAGCAGCACGGTCGGCCCGCCCAAATAAATGCCGCGTTTGTCTCCTCTGCCTTTTGTTTTGTGGTGTTTTTTTGGGAGGGGTAGGTGGAGTAAAAGGGGGGGTGGTTGATGTGTCAGAGAGGCTCGATTTACCCTCACTATTAACCAAAAAGAGTTACTGCCATGTCCGAAGAGGGGTGTACATACTCCACATATGGTCAGGTCAATTCCCCCAAGTGCCCAAAATCCAAGTTTGACACACCGCCTATTCACTCCCTCACACACACTTGCATTTTAAACGTTGCAGTGGACACATTTAAGCCTTTGTGTCCCCCCCTAACACCCCCCAAAAAATGCTTTCCAACAGTCTGTTTTAAATCCTCCATTCTCCGCTCTCCTTGTTTTTCTCGCTGCACGGTGGGATCCATTTTGGGCTTTCTTGGCTCCGGAGAGGTTGTTTTGGCTCGGAGTCTCATACGCTGTGTGCCTCTCATGCAGTTTGGTTGAATTAAACAGTTTTTCTTTTCTCCCCTAACCCCTCTCCCCACCCTCCCCTTCCCACTGCTGCTCCTCTCTTATTTTGCGGCTTAATGCTCCCTCGGCTCCCGGGCGATCGGATCGTTTTACCCTTTTAAGGCTCATATTTTCCTCTTATTTTGATGAACTGACAAGAGTCTGAAACCCCCTTCGCTCTGCTTCTTTAAGTTGAGGTGGAAGGAAATGTATACATTGAGTGTTTACAGGGGGCTATAAATACATCATTTTAAGATATAGCACATGTATACGGTGCAGGCAGCGATATGAGGCTTAAAGTGGATAATTTGATTGGCTAAGGCTATTTGACGGTGCCAAATCGATGTGATCAGATCTCAGGGATAGCGAGGCGATGACGGCAAACGGGGCACTCTGAAACCACAGGTTGGGAACGATTTGAAGAGCGGGGGAAAGGTTTCTATCCTTCCCTCTCCTCCTCTTTGTCTCAGTGAGAGAGGTAATACATATCCTCAGTAATGGATTACATTTAACGTCATGAGGATGGATACAAAGTTAACTCTATTCTTTTAAAGTTACATCAAAAAACACGGTACATTCAAATAAATAGAGTTTACTTAAAGTTTGAATCCATACGGCTACTGCCTGATATTTCCTTTATGATCCTTTATGATTGTGTGTGTGTGTGTGTGTGTGTGTGTGTGTGTGTGGCCTAGCATTACTATATTTGTGGGGACCTAAATCTGTTTACAGTCACGTGTGGGGACTTACCTCCCTTATGGGGACAAAATGGAGGTCCCCATAAGGGGAATCATTAATTTTAGGGTGAAGACTTGGTTAGGGTTAGGGTTAGGGTAAGTCTCCTGGAAATGTATGTAAGTCAATGCAATGTCCCCTGAAGTGATATACCGTGTGTGTGTGTGTATGTGTGTGTGTGTGTGTGTGTGTGTGTGTGTGTGTGTGTGTGTGTGTGTGTGTGTGTGTGTGTGTGTGTGTGTGTTTGTCTGAGTGCTCTGAAAGGCAGGAGAGCTCTGGTAATGGACGCTAAAGTGGAGACGCCTCAGGGCTGACAAGCTCGATTAACGTATATAGCCTTAAAATGTAGAGTCAGAGGAAGCCTGACTCTAAAGCACGGTCATGTGTTTGAGTCTTTGTGTGTTTATGAGCATCGGATCCATTGATTGGGTGGATGCTTTCCCCTCTTTTTTTTTACACAAGAACACCCAACTTCCCACGTGTCACTCCATGAATCTTCATCACCTGCCATTTCAAGCTGCATTATATCACGTTTTTAACTTTTAGACTTGAGGATGATGCTTTGGTAACATGTGAGGCGTGTGAAAGTAGAACATGCTACTTTTTGGGTTGTTCCAAGCTGTAACACACACACACACACACACACACACACACACACACACACACACACACACACACACACACACACACACACACACACACACACACACACACAATCCAGCTGTGTGATTATATTCCAAATGCTGAATCGGTGACTTCAAAATACAAGTAGAGTCTCTCATACAGTCAAATGTACTTTTAGTAGGAAGATTAAATAAGAAAAGTTGCCATGCATGGATAAACTTTCACGGCTTTGGGATATTTGGCTTTAATTTAAAAGCAGTAGATCAGTTTTGAATGATTTGCACCCAGATTTTATGTTTGACATGCACCCAATAAATAGATTTTCCTTGGAATAGGTAACGGTCTTCTTGTGACGAGAACTGCTCCAAAATAAAGTTTGCGTTTACTTTCGAATGTACGAGGAAACGTACTGTTTCTCAAAAATAATTTAAGGTCAAGAAAATGTTAACTTTAAATCCAGCTTTGAGACTTTTTTGCCTTTATATGTCCCATAACACAACCAATCTATAATTAACTGTTAAGCGTTCCTTTTAGCCTTACACTCAAACTCTTAAAGGGAAGAGACAGGCAGGATTGAAATGCCTTAGATGAGGTAAAGAGAGAAGATGGATCAAATTATCAACGTAGGGGTTTGGGACATTCTTCCTTTAACCTCAGACAGCGTCAATGGTTTGGCCTCAGCTTGAGAATCAGAACCAGAAACCCTTTATTAGTCTCACAGAGGGAACTGTACAGTGTTAAGGCAAAGAGACAGAGCACATGCAAAGTGACACAAATAAAGTTAGTAGACCAAAAATAGTAAAAGATCAAATCAAACAAGTATCATAAAGTCAAGTGTGTACATAACAGGGATTACCTCTTCAACAATGGTCCAACAGTTTTAGAAAAATCAAATAGCAGCTGGTAATAGTAAACATGCTTTCCACCAAGAAAAACAACAACAAACCCGAAACAGATGCCCAGAGGGACTGAACCGGAAAGAAACAGAAGAGACAGACAGGATTCAACTCTCTAAAGGCCCGGACACACCAAGCCGACTTTGGCCGTCGATGGGCGTCGACGACACGCCCTTCTCAGATTGGTGTGTCCCGCGCCATCGTGTCTTTTCAGCCGGGCCGACACCTTTTCCACCGAAAACCCACCGATTCCTCATGTCGAATCGGTGGGCAGTCGGCCAAAGGCTGTCGGTCTACGAAATCACTCTGATTGGCTGTTCAGCTAGCGAATCAGAGCATGAGAAGCGAAACGGAAGTGAGGGACCCAAACAAACGATTAAGAAGGCAAACCTGAGATTTCCTTTAACTCCAGCTCTCGACACAGGTTGGGGAAAGCCCCATGAGCTTCTCGCTGTAGAGTGGAAATGGAACGCTGGTAAGGAGAGTTATTGCCACTCACGCATGCGCAGTTCGTACGTGCTTCTTGGCCGTCGGCTGAAGTCTTTGCGGTGTGTTCCAGCGACACATGGCCAAGACGCAGGAGACGTGAGGCGATGCAACAGTCGGGTCCGTCTGTGTGAGTTCTTTGGTGTCAGCTTGGTGTGTCCGGGCCTTTAGAGGAAGTAAAGAGAAGGGATTATGGAGGAGGGGGCGTACGAAGAAAGAGCCAACAAACTGTGGACGTACTACATTTCCACAGACAACAAAAACAACAACAAACCCCACACAGATGCCCAGACGGACCCTCCCCACGGGGACATTTACATCGGCAAACAACGGCCCCTGTTGCCCCTCAGGTGCTCTTACAGTTCCCTCTGGAGGAAGGGGGTGTTTTCTTTTTAGGGGGGGGAGGGTAGTATGCCCCCCGGCTGTGCACCCAGCTACCCCCCCCCTCTGCGGAGCCTCTTTATTCCCCCCCGCGGGGCAGGTGACAGCCCTCCACTGTGAAGGGCCGAAGGGAGCCATGACGGATTCCACAGATGGAGCGTGGAAATCGCCGGCAAAGACCCTCGGCTCTGTGGAGGCAACAAAGAGGCCGAGAGTCACAGAGAGAGAGAAATATGGGTGGGAGAGAGAGAGAGAGAGGGAGAGAGAGAGAGAGAGAGAGAGATGGGAGACAAAGAGAGAGAGAGAGAGAGAGAGAGAGAGAGAGAGATGGGAGACAAAGAGAGAGAGAGAGAAATATGGGTGGGAGAGAGAGAGAGAGAGAGAGAGAGAGAGAGAGAGAGAGAGAGAGAGAGAAAGAGAGAGAGAGAGATATGGGAGACAAAGAGAGAGAGAGAGAGACAGACAGAGACAGAAGAGAGAGAGAGAGAGAGATGGGAGACAAAGAGAGAGAGAGAGAGAGAGAGAGAGAGAGAAAAGGTGGTGCTTGTTTAAGGACAGTGGCGTGCCAAAAAGTGCAAAAAAGTTTACGGTGCGATTTAGGAGTTAGCTGTTGTTTGGAGGGAAACATTTCTCACTTTTTTCTCACTTTTTTCTCACTTTTTTCCTCACTTGCTTGAAGTTGTACTGATAAGTGGTGGCTTGTACATGTTGATCCATGCTATGGTCTGTTTTATAATTGTTAGGGACTATGAAAAAGTGCTTGTTGATTGTTTTGAGTGAACCTGCCAGATGGAAATGAGATAATAGCTTTAATCCGGCACGAATCATCTCTTGTCCTTTCAAAATTAAGATAAGAGAGAGAGAGAGAGAGAGAGAGAGAGAGAGAGAGAGAGAGAGAGAGAGAGAGAGAGAGAGACAGACAGAGACAGAAGAGAGAGAGAGAGAGAGAGAGAGAGAGATGGGAGACAAAGAGAGAGAGAGAGAAATATGGGTGGGAGAGAGAGAGAGAGAGAGAGAGAGAGAGAGAGAGAGAGAGAGAGAGAGAGAGAGAGAGAAAAAAGGTGGTGCTTGTTTAAGGACGGTGGCGTTCTAAAGTGCAACAACGTTTACGGTGCGAATTAGGAGTCTGCTGTTGTTTGAAGGGAAAAATATACAAGTGTGACTTTTCCCTCACTTGCTTTGAGACTGTTTAGAAGTTGTCAGTTGAGCTGATAAGTGGTGGTTTGTTCGTGTTGATCCATGCTTTGATTTGTTTTATAATTGTCAGAGTGATAGGGACTATGAAACAGTGCTTGTTGATTGGTACGAGTGAACCTGCCTATTAGATAATAGCTCAAATCTGGCACAAATCATCTCTGACAGAATAACTAATACAAAGTGTTCTACCTGACGTCATTTCCTCTCTTGGTAACAATCTGTTGCAGCTTCCCCAAACTTATCATTTCACCGCCTCGCCTTACCAGCCTGTATCTAAGCATCAAGTGATCCAACGAAGCAAAGTGAAACAAATGAGCCCCGTAAAGGATCTGACGACTAGACTCTTGAGACTTTCGGAGGTGCCACTCTGTCGCTTCCTTTTGAAATGTTCTGGAGACCCCGGTAGCAGTCATAACCGATAGGTAATTCCAAAGTGATTAAGGATTTCCCCGGCCTCCTCGGCTTTCCCAGGGCCCAAATCCCTGTGAAATGCTGAGGAACGTGCATGCTGCTAAAGTCTTGGAAGGGGGGG